ACAAAATAGGAGTCGACTTCTGTCAACCTGTTCAGCAGAGTAGGAACGTAACTAACCAACCCCGCAAAAAGTCTCTTCTCAAGAATTGATAGTTTATAGGCTAACAAAACTGATAAGCGGGAAAAGTTATATTCAGGGCTTAGTTGTTCCTCGATTCCGCTTATCATGAGCTTCAGGGATCTTATAGACGCGACGTTCCACGGTTGACCAAACACCATCTCCATTTCTGCAATTTTTTCGTCTAGATCACGGACTGTTACACGTATTACACTCAACATGGTAAGAAACTCTTGGACTAGATCTGTGCGCACTTGTTTCCCGATGCTTTGACTAGTTTTCAGAAAATCATTGCACTTCTCCAATTGTGAGATGTTTTTCACGGGACCCAAGTCCCCAGATCTTATAAGTTGAAGTGTTAGCATGAATTCTTTGATGCATTTTTCAAATGTCCTGTATCGCTGCGATAGTGTTCGTACGTCCTCTTTTGTCTGTTTCTGAAATGCTTTCAAAGACGCCAGATACGCTCCTCGGCTACGGTGGTTAAGCTCTGCAATATAAATATATGATATCAGTTTTTGCAGTAAAAATTCTCTCTAATCAATTTCAACATCCCTTTTTACAATTCTATAATATTTTTGAACTGGATGTCTAGCGTTAATATGGCTGAGTGAAAACATGTCACCATCATCAACCCTGGCGACTTCGTCCTGAACGGAGGCGCCCTACCCTCTTGATTCACTTTTCACTTTATATTCACAGACCATTTATACATTTTAAAGGCTACATGTAACGTTCTAACATTACTCGTATACTGACATAATCAGTTCTCATCCGACTTGATAACAATATTAAGAGGCATCATATCCCAAAATAAATACTTACCCTGCGGTATCAATAGCTTGCTGACTGAATTTGGTGCGCTAAATGCCCGTCTCGGGGCCGGAGAGCCGTTCGGCGACGATTCCGAGGGACCCAGTCTTCCGGACAATAGCTCCTCTTTACAACGTACGATCTCTCTTTGTGGTATCGTTACTTTGACAGACAGATCACTTATTCCCATTTCCCTCAAAATCTTTTCAGTACAAAACACTTTTTGGCACGCTTCTCGTAGATCTCCTTTATTGTACATGTCAAGGAGATGCAAAAGAGCGCGCAAGCTCTTGCAGACGAGAATAACAACAATGCTGCCTAAACGTAGCCGTTTGACGTAAATGTCTTTAAATTCCAATAAAGTAGTCAGGGCATTGATGTGATCTTGCGCATTTTTGACAACATTTGTGTAGTAATGAAGCATCATTTTTTGGAAGGTGTCTTGCTCTGTTTCCGATGTTTGATTTCTGTCGTCTGTTCCATCCTGGTCGGTTTCCATGGATTCCACACTTTGTGGCCGCATCTCAATATTGGAAACTTCTATGGTTGCATGAACCTCGCCTGAGACAAGAAGGTAAGCTATTGTTATTGAATGAGGGCAAAAGCTTGGAAAATTCTAACAGTCAAAATTATTATTATTATTATCATTTTAGAAGTAGTAGTAGTATCACTAGGTTCCATCGAATGTTCATATTCACTTTATTATAAATGATCTATCTGCATTATGAATAACTGAACTGACACCCACCTATTTCTCTATTATCTTTTCTTGGGGTAGTGTTTGCAGAGTCAGCCTCTCCCTGACTTGATTGAATTGTCTTTTCACTGGAGGTTCTTCGCAGGCCTCCTTGTTTTGGTTTGTGCAAAGTTTCTGAAACAGTTAAAGCAGAAAAGTGGCACAGTTTCTTAGTACATCTCTGTTATTTTAATATAATGTTTTTTAAACTCATCCCACCTTTCTGGCTTTGTCGTTTATGCTGTAAACAATACAGGTCGTAGACCCTATACCTTAATTTGCCCCTGAGGGTCGACAGTGTCATTGGAAAAGGCTTTAATAACATATTGATTTCAATATAATTATATATTTATTTTTAATTCTATATCGCTTCCAATTCAGTTGACAACCTGATATCTCACTAATTTTTCTTACCTGAATTATTTCTCTTTCTAACTCCTGTTTTCTTTCTCGGCACAGAGGGCGGGGGCGGTTGACCTGTACTGCGGCGTCTGCCTCGAGACGCTCCAGTGCTGGGCCCTGCGACGGAATTCCGTCTCGATGGGCTAGACACACGTCCTCGGCGTACTACGAGGTGACTAATGGCGTCTGGAAAGATGTTTTGAAAATGATGATAAACCAAGAACGCTAACACAAGGTTTTAATCAAGAAAAAAAAATCACGTAGCAATAACACATAACAAGAGTTTTAATAATTTTAGAGTAATCAAGTGCACTGACAGAGGCGGATTTAGGAGGGGTGTTAGGGNCCCCCCCCCCCCCCCCCCCATTTGATTTCTGAAAAAAAAAATCACACCAATGGTCCCCTTTTCAAATTAGAAAATTGACTAGCTGAATCATAGTTCTAAACCGTAAAAAAATAGCACCGTTCGGCCCCTAAAATACCAAAATTTTTCGGGCCCCAACCCCACGTCGGGTCGGCTTCGAATCCGCGGAGCCCCCCCTCCCCTCTTCAAATAATTCTGGATCCGCCCCTGACTGAGATGTGCAGTGTCCATGTATGGTAAGTAAGTTGTGACAGGATTAATACACTGTAACATTTTCCTTTTAGGAAAAGGAGTTTATTTTCAACCCTTTTCCAGGCAAGTTCTGTAATAGCATGTCGATGCTTTCGGCGGAACATGCTATTAAAGGTTGTTTGAATCACTATAAATATTGGTCTGACAAAAACAGCTTATGGAGCATCTCATACAAAATGCAGGAACCTTCACATTATATACGTCAGCTGCAGAAGCCCACGCATTACATTGCAGGATTGTACACAGAATCTCACATATCAAATAGAATAACATTCAGATTCCGAAAAAGGCAAATAATTATCTGCTGGCAAGCTTAGTGCCTCGCAAAGGAAAAATCGAATAATTAACTCACCTTCGGCACGCTTTAATTCCAAATTTCTCAGAGCGTGTGAGAGTTTGTCTTTGGTGGCGTTTCTCCCCTGCTTCTCGTGCCACATACAAAGACACTGGTAGGACAGTTCAGAGAGACGCGCCATTGGGTGAACGTGTTCGATATCGAGAATATCTTCATCCGTCAGTCCAAGCTCACGAGATACATCCTTCCAATAGCGGACTATGTAAGGAGCTAGCGTTCGGAAAATCGCCCGTATATCTGAAACATCCAAAGTGAATGATATGATACGAGAGAAAAGACAAACACCTTATATATTCACGTAAGTATAAGACCAATTTTCGTTACTAAAACATAATGGTGGCCTTAACACAAACGCAGACACGTACGCACACATGCATGTAACGTAGAGCTTTTACAAAATTTTAAAATTACCATTATCAACTAGTATAGGTCTACAATATAACACAATATCTTTCAACGGGAGCATTTATAGTTCAATTCAAAAGTACGAACAAATAACGAACGTCTTAAAGCTTACACCACTGAAAATTATTCCGATAAGTTTGTATTGAGGAAGACAAAACAATATAAGGACGGTTTATGTATCATTGTTTAAAAAAGAACTTTTGTATAGGATTTAAGGTGCCGCACTTACGTTCTTGTGAAAGGGTAGAAATAAATCAGGTATAAGATATTTTCTATTGTTATATATAATAGACCAAGTAATCGCCTTCTATTGGCGTCAGAAATTGCGGCGTTTTGAATGTAAAAAGCCGATTAAATCTACCTCTTTACGTTGGGTATTGTTGCTTTGTAGCGTCAGTGTATCAGGATTTTATTCAAAACAGGGATCCTATACTGGAGTGGATTTGATATTGAAAGGCCAACAAACTTTTACAACATCTACTGAAATAACACACGACAAATGCACATAATTGTATTGAAATAGTTATGTGGTACGGGGCCGCAACTACTCAAAGCGCGGTGAAAGGTTTTGTATCAGAACCGTATTGACGAATTACTGAAGCACAAAAGGGCAATAACTCGGGGGCATTGAAACTGTGAAATGGGTTTAGTTCGAATCAAATAGAACGATTAAAACACTTGGCGCAAATAAAGAAGAAAAGTACAACAATAACGGGGAGTGGAGTAAATGTTTCTCTGGGTGAATGTACACAAAACGAAAGGTTGTCGTTTGTCCCTAGAGAACTCCCACCGTCCAATGGCTCATTTTCTCAGTCTTTCACACTCCTTAAATGGATTTAGTTTAATTGCAATTAACATGATCAGGGCAACCTCCCGGGGCCAGGGGCATTATTGTACGGGTTTTGTCAACTTTATTAATTCTAAACTAGCTATAACTTCGAAGATAAATATCGCAGGTACACCCTGTGTAACCGCTCATATACTTTTTCCCTGTCAAATATCCCGGTGCTGAGGCAGGCGTTAAAACTAGTCTGGTCCTTGCTCATGTTGAAAAGAATGTATCCTACACCCTTGAAATATAGGCTTATTCTGTTCGCTGCTGTATCTTTTCGAGACCAAACCGTGCAGCAACTGTTAATCATGGGCGAAAAATTCTCAATGGTAGGTCGAATTAAAATAAACATGGGGGATTAGTATCGTAATGTTAGAATAAACATGTGATGGTGAAATTTCAAAATTGTGAGGCTCGATGTTACAGTCTGACACCTTCCCGTGCCTTGCTGGCCGTATATTATTGCGGTGTATTTAATTTTATACTTTGATGTTTACTTTTATGTTTAAAGATAACACAGGTGTCTAAATATGCGCGCAGAATTGAAGTCGTGTAGGGCTATTTGTTAAAGCGCCGGTTGAATATTGTCTTGAACTATTTTCGGTGTTTGTGAATATTAGTTATTAAAAGTACATTTGGATGGACAAGGGAGATTAAACTTTTAAAAAAGCACACCATTTAAAGAAGTGGTTATGAAGTGTATCTATCATAAACCAGTATCTATCAATGTCTGTTGATTAATTCAATAAACCTTATTACGTGAAGAGCAAAGAAACATATATTCTTGCTGAGATTACAACCTCTGTTCATTCAAGATTCTTGAAATAACTTATTTTCACATCTGCGGGTACAATTTTGCCCACACCATTAGAGTTTTAGCCGAACAAAATATTAATCACTTACCGTCCACCTCCACCTGCACCTCCTTGGTCGCCATCTTAGGGTATCCGGGCCACATCACGTGACTCTTGTTAATTCCCTCTTTCACTCAGTTAGCGTCGGGTAGACCCGTGAAACCGATACCTCTTGAGTGAGATGGCATATTTGTTTTTAAGATTTGAATATAAAATTTATACATAAACGTTTTGTGCGCCATAAATCCCACGTTGATAACCGGTTACAGTCCAACAGAGGCACCTTAGCAGTAGGTTATGTTCAATTTCACAAATCAATAACAATCTGCTCTTTACTTATAATAACCATAAACATAACAAGGTGAAATATATTGCCAGCATACCCAATACTAGCTTTTTACCTTTCTGCTGAAAACACTATTCCCACTCATGTTCAAGAATATTTGAAAAAAAAGCGAGCAAAATGTCCAATTATGTATTTTGTCCGTTTTTGTCACGCTTACTATAACTCACTCTGTTTTCCCATGAGTACTGGTAAGGTGGTGGAAAGCCTGTTGATCAGTCCCGGCAGCGGGAGGTTATTGATTACTTTATTGAACTTTACAGATTTATTTGTGTAATGAATACCGATGCAGCCAGAAAGGAGCAGGGAATGTCAGAGGTTAATTAAGTTTTCATTGTTTGTATGAGAAGCGTGATCGCAACTAATAATTTGCCTTATCTATAAATGTAGGTGTTTTGAATTTGAAAAATAAATGTCATGGGATTTATAACTAATATCATCTTCTAGTTGAAAGTGGATTCTTTTAAACATAAGGGATTTTAAGCCAATTTATTGAAATACCATATTTAATTTGGTTAGTGTTGGTGATAAGTCCATTTTATTCAAGGAACTGGGATAGATAGGATATTTATTTTAACGTGAACAGCGAGTAAAAAAATACAATTGTAAATATACTTAGTGTACATGTACGATTAAAAGGACAAATCTTATATTGCCACTTTTGACTGACGTTAATGTGTCTAGTATGCCTAGATGCTTAGGCCTACCAACTGCTTAAGGTTTCCATATTTCTTACACAGTCATTCATTCATTCAGTGATGATTTTGATCTACATGATGACTTTCATTTATTCATTTAATTGTTTGTTAATTTTCATGTATAACTGAACTGCCTAATTTTCAATTTCCGTCATCTCCTTTTTTTAGGAAAAAATGACTGACATACTACTTCATTTCAAATCTTTTATCAGTTCCATTGTTCTAACATGTATGTAGATCTCTTACCCTCCTGCCAAGGTTATTTTGTAATTAGGTAATTAATACCACGGCTCATCAATATATCCCGACATTTGATTGGCTAATAAATTTTAAAAATATGCATGCAATTCTTAAAAGATTTATGAACAAATTTCTGTTTCATATTGAGTTCTTTGCAATGCTTATCTATATATTTGTGTTAGTTTCCTCTGTTCATAGTTGTCTAAATTACACATCTATTATTCACAGCAAGCATCATCGTGTGACAGCTGGAAAGCTCTCGTCACAGCGGTAAATCATAAAGTATTTGCGTATTTATAAGATTTAGATTTATGAAAAGGAGATAAAAATTGAAAATCATTTCAGTGTCTTAGACCATACAAACAAAGTAGAATATAGATACAAAAGTTACGAAACCGAGCTTAATATATCCACGAAATAATTGTTTCTCGGAATCATAATTAAAAATGCCCGCGTACGGCCAAGTTTATGGTAATTTACTCAGTCGCAGCTTCACTCTGTATGATGGTCACACATTTATAAATTTCTGTTTAAATGTTTGCCTTCAGAAAAGGTAGAAGGATTGTGGTTTTAAATTTTGGAAAAGTATTTTTATATAGTGTCCGTTATATTTGGGTAGTACTGTGTAATCTTGGAGCAAGGTAAGTGATTTTTCATTAAGATGACGACCATTCCACAATGTCTTGTTCTGCTTCCTGTACAGTAATACTTAGAGCAAGCGTCAACTATACATTTTTCATGAGTTGAATGATGAAATGTTCGTGCAAATTGTCAACATTTGGTAGCGGTCTTAGTTTTGTAGGCGAAATAATCTGCTTAGAAATTTAACTGCTGTTTTTGTTAACACGGCACAGTAAAAATTCTTCCAATTAAGAAGGATATTTGCAGATTTGGGTTGGTAACAATACTAAGGTAGGCTAAGGAACAACCGAACATCATAATTACGTGAATATATAGTCCTCAACTATGTTTTAGTTTTAAAAAATACTAAATACTGCGAGATTACGCACGGGAGACAATGCGGACCACCAATTATCCAGAGAAAATATTTCTGGAATACCTGCTTTGAATGAATGAATTAAGCAGGAGAGGAAGGAATATCGTGGTTGGCTTCGTTTCGCCAAATATTCAGTTCACCTCCTTGTCTTATAGTATAAAATAGGTCACCTGTATCCTGGATAAGAAACGTTATACATTTTAACATTGTGTGATGTTTTACAGTATATAATCAGTACATATATATATTTATTCTAGAGTCAGCAATCTGATGCCAGAGACTACCTTCAACTATGCTGGGCTTGAGAAACCCACCAAGATGAAAATTATTTCATTGTGGACTTTGTTTTGTATTTTCCTGATTGCTGTTCTGACTATTCTGGTATCTTACGTGAATGTAGAGATACACGACGCAAGATCATCTTTAGGTAAATACAAAATCTATTTATGAAATAAAGACAGGTAAGACGTTTAATGTACATGATATATATTTTCATCCAAAAGGGTTTCGAAGAGCAAGATAGCTGTCGCTTTAACTTGGTGTTGGGGTTGATGTCAGAAAAGTGCATTTGATAAAAAACAATATCACTTGAAGTAGGCCTACATTTGGCCCAGACGGTAAAGAATGGACGTAAGATTTTGAAAACAGGACATCTTACTTCCCTTTATATTTCTGTTATTGTATTATGAATAAAAGATACTCATACTAAGTGATATAACATCGCAAAATCTTGTATCATTTTTAATAATTGATGTTAAGTAAGTTTTATATGTTGACTAACTCTTATTCCAATGATTCGTTCCAGCCGATGTCAAGCTTCAGAAACGTACGCGCCGGGCTCTACAAAATGATATTCTAAGACAGAAAGTTACAAATGATGTCACCAGAACCGCTTCCACGGCAGCAGGCATTTCTTCCACAACAAAAACAACAACAACACCAGGTCCAAAACCGGCCCCAACCACGGCGGTGCTGATTCTGACCTATCAACGCAGTGGTTCTTCTCTGATTGGGGAGCTCTTCAACCAGAACCCATCAGCTTTTTATCTGTTTGAGCCTCTCTGGGCCTTATACGAGAACAAGATAAACCCAACTTTCCCGAGCACTCTGCTACTTGCAAATGGGAATAAAAGGTAAGCTCAAAGTTAACATTTGAAAGCACTCGTCAGGTACCCTCTTATAAGAAAGACATAGTTATATGCTATCCATTTGAGTTTGCATGTTAATGCGGAAAAGTGTGTTAACCATATTGAAGCTCTTTAATTATTTCTCTTTATGACTTAAATATATAATGAACCAGCATCCCAAGCCTTCTGTATATACAGTGATAGTGTAGCTCTTTAACCAAGACAAACAAGATGGAGGATGTGTGCTACCTCTCTGTTTCTCAGTGGAAGTTTTTGTCATTTTTTTTTCTTAAAAGTCACCGTAAATAAATGTAATACATGTACCTATGTCGTTTTAATGCTATTTTGATTGCAGACCAATGCCAGCAACTGAAGACTTTGGCTCGTTTTCTCAAGAACTGATCACCAACATGGCGAGATGCGACTTAGGGCAAGTCCCCATGGAGATATTAGCACCTTTTGGCGACGACGGACACTGGTTCTTTAGCGCCAATGGGAGACATAAGGCATTGGCAAAATATATAGACTGTATCAAAAAAGATAACGATGCGAAAAAGGACGCATTGTGCGTTCCTTTGGCCCAAGCCGTTTGCGATAATTCTACCATAAGAGCTATTAAGACCATTCGATTTCGAATGTGGATGCTGGAGCGAGTGCTTCTAGAAAATCCAGGGATGAAGGTTATTCATCTGTTCAGGGATCCCCGAGCATCCATTTTATCCAGGTTTACGTCTACCCAAGCCGGCTGCAAGTTAGAGTTTGAGGCCAGCGCAAGATGCTATGACATGTCCAAGGATCTGACTACCGGTGGACATCTTTTCAAAAAATACCCGGGGCGAATCATGCGAATTCTGTACGAGGACATGGCGGATTATCCTATGGAAACAGCACAAAAGATACATATGTTTCTGGGAAAAGAGCTACCGAAAAATGTTCTAGATTGGGTTTTGGAAAACACAGCGGCTGGTGTAAATGACACGGAGTTGTTCGAGACCACCCGAGCTAACTCCAGCGAGACTGCACATGCTTGGGAATTGAGTATCCCGACCGACATGGCTTTCAAGATAGACGAGATCTGTTATGATGTGATCGAAGAGCTAGGGTACGAAAAATT